TATAGTGTAATGTAATCGGATGCAGAACACCTTGGTGAAGTGGAGTGGAGGAAAAAAGGGAATATTAGAGCCTCAAAATAAAATTTAATTATATAAAAAAAAATTCATAAGGCATTCGAGTACATTCAAAGAAAATAAGGCGGACGGCTCTCCTACTAATTACTAGCCATGAGATCTGGCGTGCAGGACTGAATCATCTACGGATATTTGCTGGACTACGAGTCCCACCACCAGGGCAACCCCAATTTTGTTTCAAAACTTATATTGGTCAAATCATCATGCCCTAACATGAGGCTGCTTTACATCAGCAGACTGTACCTGCTTGGAGAGCTCATCGAGCATATGTATGGAGATCGGGGGTGCCATGGTGCCTAGCAATGGGGCTGGGGGAGTGGAAGATCCCAGGGGACCAGCAGGAGAGGCTGGCATGCTTCCCCAACTCATGGGAAGTGTTGGCACCTAAACATGGAAATGGGTTTCATCCCATGCATACAATTCTCCTTTTCATCGTAATTCAGTTGGGAAAATCAAAACTCAAAAACAATTTTAAAAGTTCCACCTTCTTTGTTTAACAATACATATGGACTTACCATGTAGTGAGCAGGGGACAGTGGGGGCATAACTGGGTACTGAGGAGACCACATCTGGCCCCACATGACTGATCCCCCTGTTGGTGCTGGAGAGCCAGGATAAACCTATAAAATGGAAAACAAAAGTTTGACATACAGACAAAATGCTGACTGTAACAAATAAAAATTTACATGTAAATTCTGCCAATTTCTCTGGTTTATAGCACATTTTCCTTCACTAAACATGGTAGACTGAAGCTATGAAAATCCATGAGTGTACAACTATGATGAAGGGGACAGGACATACCACAGGTGATGAAGGCTGGTAGGAGGGATGGGGGGTTGGAGCATTCATTCCCATCATTAAGTGACTGTTTGAATTAGCTTCTGCAAAAAGAAAATGTTAGTCAAAATAATGCCTAAAACTATACATCATTCCAAATAACTAAATAATGCACTACAGTGACAAAAGTCCATGAAGCCCAATGCATTTTTTATATCTCTAACAATTTGGTCTATGATTAAATTTATGAGCATGATAAATATTAGCTTGGCATGGATATCTAGAAATGTGCCAACTTGCCACAGAAGCATTTTCTGCCCAGAGTTTTAAGATCAAAGTTCTGTTTAGCCAATTTTAATTTCAGCTGAGAATCAAAAAGGTCACAAATGACTGTTCAAGGGACAAGGAGGTATAACTTGTAAAATTGAAGTAAGTTCAAGTAAAAAAATATCTTATTTGCTTATTCTTATTCATAAATAAATAAACACGATTCCATGTGCTTCAGAGATGCAACTTCTGGGGAAGGGCATTACAAAGACTAATATCATCCTATGCGATAATGGACTGATAACACCATTTTGGTTCTGAATAATAAACAAAAAATAAAGGACCAAGAAAAAGAATAATAAGAATAAACAAGATAATAGTAAGAATAAAAAGAATGAGAATAAAAAAAATAAGAATAAATAAAACAATAATGATACAACTAAATGTATTCTAAAAATTGGGTCTTCCCCACAAATACCTGAATGATGTTATGCCATCTCATGCAGTTGTAAAAAGGTTCATTGTAATCTTTTAGTTTGCTTGGACCATGACAGACAGTGTATGAATAAGTATTTCATTACAAACCTTTCTGGCAAGGCCTGTTTGTGAAAATCTTAAGAGGCAAGATGTAAACATTAACTCTGTGATTTTGCATTTAGTTATTGTTCAATCCATACATTACAATTGTGAAAATCTGATTTTCTTTTATGGTTGAACTTGTTTATTAGGTTTGAATTTTGATTCTAAAGTCAAAGCAAGTTCTAGTTTAGGGCAACTACAAATTCTTTGATGAAATATCTGAAGCTCTTCACACAGACAGATACAGCAATTCTGGGTGACTACTACTGATCCTTTGACCTTATAGCTGAAATTTGTGACTGGTAAATATTCTTGCTTGGGAAGAATATGATCTTCAAAATACTCTTCAAAATATACTCATTCACTTAAAGCACCTGCCAAATATTGGTTTTTGCATACACTTCACCTCTAGATTTCCCTTTTAGGGCTGTATTCACATCTAAACCTTATGGTTCTGTTCACTGTATAGATTTCTAGATAATGAATGGGTATTACTATTTGTTACAATCAGGTAAAGCCCATCAACAGCTGGTGTTTCTTCCCCTGCTGCAATTTTATTCATGTCTCAATACTCCCTCTCTTTACTGATCCTTCTCTCCCTACAGGCTCCATAAGGGTATTGGTACAAACACAAGTGACTACAGTAAATTTGGCAAATCTTATTAGCTAGATAAAAACCTTGTATATATCGCTGGTAATCGCATTGCTGAGGTGGGGTGACCTTATTTGGAGGAGGAAGATGACTGGGAGGTGGTGGCTTGGTATCACTATTGGCACTTGCACCCTCGGTATTGTCTCCATAGAAAGATGAACTGCCAAAGTAAAACAAAAAAAAAAAGTCATGAATTATCTTGTAAAAGAAAGACAGGAAAGACAAGTGAATATTCCAAAATGAAAACAATTTACTCACCTTGATGTAGGAATGTGGAAACTAGGAGGGGAAGGAGCCGAGTCCCTGTTTAAGACAAGTATTCTTTTTGTTCCGCGACCTCTAACTGCCACCAAATCTCCTAAGGCTTGAACAAGAGCTACTATATTGGGAAAACCGTAAGTTGCTGGACGACAAGCAACACCTGATGAAAAACAAATTCTTTGTACAAATATACAGAATAAGTCAATAGATTCTAGAGTCCAAACCCACATACTATTCATCATAACCATGTAATACATATCTGATTAATAGCTTAAAAAAGGCCAAGAACTCACCAAAACGGTCAAGATAGGCTGTATCAAAATTCAGAAGTAGCATACGTCCCCCTGCTTCATGGAGAAGTGTCAAGAGATCTCTTGCAAACATTTGCAGTGGCACCAGGTTAACCTTAGCTTCTTCACCTTCACCCTCAATCTAAATAAATTGCAATTGGGGCAATTTTACATCAGAATTCTATTAGAAGTATATAAACATATCCATAAATACACACATAACACATATATGGAATGTATGGGGTGGAAGGCTGGAGTAATAAGCAAAAATGAAAGCTAGAAACTTACCACAAGTACATCTTCCAAGTCCCGTCTAATCACTTCTATGCTTGGAGGATGGCCATAACGGTCAGTGTAAGTTTGTACAAATTTATCTAGGGGATAGGTGCAGTTGGAGTCCTCCCACAGAAGCTTACGTGCTCGCACCATGATTTCGTGCACATATCCTCGGTCAACAAGGGCAACTACGGGTTCATCACCTGTCTCCACCAGCTAGAATTGTGCAGGTCATCAATTGTAATCATAATACTAATAGGATACATTTTGAATGCTAATGCACTTGCAATACTTTTCAAAAATTTAGGCAATTTTAAGTAAACACCCAACCTATTAAACTTACTTTTACATGATTTCTAAGCTTCCCTATAAGCTCTTCCAAAGTGTTGGCACCATAGTGGGAGGGTTTCAGAGAATACCCATAATACCGAGTGAAGACCTGAGTTAAGGCAGAAATCCTGATAGCTTGCCTAGGAGCTCCTCTTACCACTGCCCCCACTTGATCTCCTAGTACACGGACACGTTCTCGTTCCACCAGTTGCAACTGCTTCTCTCCATCTTCTTCATCATCATAGACCTAAATATACAAACATCCTTACTACTCTTATGCATTATGATATGTACTCACTATTTCTCAATCTTCAATAACATACACTAGACTTAAAAAATTCCCACACACAGTGGCAGGATTAAAATTTACCTGAAGGACATCTGGAATGGCTTCAAATAGTTCAATCAGCTTACTAAACCCATAGTCAGCCACCCTACACTGTCTTCCAAAATGGTGGTGATAAGCTGGAATGAAACGATTGAACTGCATTTTGCATTGTGGAGAGTGCCGAAGTAACTCAACAACTTCGGCAGCAAACTGTCTTGTTCGCTCTATTTCTTCAGGGAGTTTGTTCGCGCTTTGGAATAGCAATTGTAGTCTCAGTGCCCGATCGAGTGACTATCACTGTCGTTTCACTAACTTCAGTCAGCAAATCCTCAACATCACATACTCCATAATCAATCACATTCCATGTTCTTGTCAATGCCTTTTCATAAGCAACTGGAAAAGCCTCAAGTGTTATGGCTTTTGTTGGCTGGCCCTTCAATACCCTCAAAAGATCTGAAGAAAACCTTTTGACCTGAGCTTTGTGTGCCAATGTCAAAATGCGTTTATTTCCTTCCCCCAAAACTTGCACAACATGAGGGAGAGCTTCAAATAGGTCTGCAAGCTTGGTAAATCCATAGTCAGCTACTCTACACTGTCTGCCAAAGTGATGATGGTATGCTGGTATGAAGCGGGAAAAAGGTAAACGGCAGTATGGGAAAGTTTTGAGGAGATCTACCAATTCTCTTGAAAAGAGTGCCAACTGTCCAACAAGTGGAGGGCTCACGCATCGGGCTAGCTCTTCAGCTTCATCTGTTACTTTATTCTCAACCCACTGCACATATTTGAAACCACCAGTAGCAGTCATTATGCACACTCCTGGCAAACAGGAGACCAAGTGCTCCAAAGGTACACCATCCTCTGCTTCATCAACTGGGCCAATTTCTGCTTCATAACAGTCTACCAAGCTTGCCAGTGGGAGTGAACCAGAGTGGGACTGAAGCAAAGAGTGTATACTTCCAGCCAAAGTCCGCAAAGTCATATTTACATTTGGCAGACTTGAGCTTTGATCACGTTCTGCCCAACCAATGGAATCATCAGGACCAGAACTATGGATCTTACAGTATCTGGACGATATACTACCACTTACTTCCTCTTGTGCCGACTCTGTCAAGATTGGGGAGCTCATGTGTCGAAACTCAGGATGAAGGGAGACCATCCTACCTGTACTGTTATCAGATACAGTTACTATATCCCGCATGTTATACATTTCTGATACACCAATGGTTTCATGAAAGCGTCTCTCATAGAGTTCGCGAAACTTGAAAAGGGGAAGCTTTTTCCCAGGAACTTCCTGTAGCAGAGCTATGACCTTAGACCTGAAAATTAAACTATAATAACATCTTGGAATACATGTATATCAACTTCAATAATCTAACTTCTATAACAATACTTCCAACAATGTCCATTCACATTACAAGTATTATACCTCTTCAATTCTGGTGATGGCTGATTTTGATTCACATAGGATATGATAATCCTCTTGGCACCAATCTTTTTACGGTGAAGTTGAGAAATGGCATACTGAGCATCTTGCTGTGAGGGTACCCGCAAGGTAGCAGCCAAGTTACCGTCAGATTGAACAAACACTGACACATGTAATACCTAAAGAGAAAATAAAATCATTAACTAGAAGGAAAAATATAATGTAAAGGACTCATGCCTCCAAAACTTTCAATTTCCCTTATAATGGTATTTCATATGTGAGAAACAAAATTCCACTAAGCCACTTACCATGACATGATCTCTAAATATTGTGAAAAGGATGCGTTTCATCTCCCTGGCATCAATGTTTTGATCAAGATTTGTCACTTGTAATTCTACTGGGACTTGCTGGACACTAGCTAGACTTGTATCCTGGAAAGAAAAAGATATCAGAATTTCCATATGAAGCAGAGAACCCCTTTGAAGCATAAAAGGGGAACACTTTCAACTCAAACTATCTTCAAACAAGTTTGGCTGGGAAAGGTATTTTAAAATATTAGACCACAAGAGTGAGCCACAGCTCAGGGAATGAAAAGAAAGAAAGAAAGAGAGAAGTGATATTCTAACATTACAGTATCTATTATTGCTCATAAAGGATATATGAAGAAACTTCAAAACTTAACATTTTACCATTTATACTTAGCAACAAGCAATCAACCTAGAAGTAAACTAAAGTCTGTAAATACAAGACTTACGATAACACCTTCCCCAAGGGAGAGTTCCTTTAATCCATAAAGGATTTGTCCTTGTGCATCTACTGTAGGGGAGGGGCTCCATACAGGCTTCACAGGACTCATACCACTCCATAACAAAGGAGAGGGACTTCTTGCCCTACACATTAACAAAAAGAAAAAAAGTTGAAGAATATAATCAGATAAGTTTCAAAATAAAAATGCTAACAATACTTATAATACCTTCAGTATTTAGCAAGTCTGAAATCACACACAAAATACAACTCCATAAGAAAATCTTACCTAAGTGAAGAATCCAATGTGTAGGAATCTGGAGTTCGTGTGTTGAATGAAAAGCTTGGTGGGGAACTCATCCGAAATTGTATTCCTGAAAGACAAGAAAATTTATTACAACACCATCAACCATGACACTAAAAAAAGGGAGGCACAGTATTTCTGCAAATATTTCAGAACCTACTTGTACTTACTTTGGGATCTTCCTTTCTTGAACTGCTCTGGGGTCTTGTCCAAGTATAATGGCTGAACTACATCACGACTGTTTCCTTCATTATGCGAATTGCAGTCAACTCTTGACAAACCAAAATTTGAATTGGATCCAGAAACACTTGACTGACTTTGAATCCGACAATTGTTATTCCTAAAAGCACGCTGGCTGAAAAAGATTTAGATAAAACAAATCATTCTTACTTCTAAATCTAAATTCTGAGAAGTGATGAACAGTTTATAAACTCCTCAAAACATCATTTACAAGCAATCACTCTTATTGGTCCCCTTCCTATAACATGAAATATTTGTTTAACCTTTAAGCATAGAAACAAGAACAAATTCCACAGACTACTTATGTTTAAACTATAAAAATCATTCACACTAAAAAAAGATCTAGCAAGACCTTCATTTCTCACCATGATCCGAAATGCTGATCTGAAAAAGACATGGCAGGATTCTTGCCATAGCTTTTGAACGCAGTGTAGGGTTGAAGAGCCGAATCACTGACAGGGTCTCTCACCCGCCATGACAGGCTCGTTGTGCCAGTGTCACCCATGCCTGTCTGGGATGGGTTTGGAAATATCTGCGAATTGACAGGCTTCCACGTATCCAGAGATTCCTGCCCTCTGTCCCGCGATATCTGGTGCTGAAGGTGCTTAACTGTATTGAAGCAGGTGCAAGAAAAAATGTTAGAGAAACAAATACAAAAAAAAGAAGAAGGTATGAACCACTGTGCAACTATTTGTACATATATATACACACAATCATTTGCTATCATGACCAAATTTCAAAATTGGGTATCTTCAATTTTCAAATCTATTTAGAAAAGGTAATACTTACTATCTACTTTTGGGGATCCTTCCTTGTCAAAATTCTTACCAAACGTACAATATATCTTGCTGCCATACACGTCTTCACCATCTAGCCTCTTTTTGGCCCTAGAAATAAAATCATATCTTAAGTTCTCTGTCAGCACACATTTCATACCTAAGTTTTAGCCAATTTTGAATCCTAAGCAGTATAGGTATGTAAAGTGGAACTGCAAAATTTATATATATGTTCCCAGGGCCATTGTTCAAGTTCTCGGTGTCCAAACGCTATGGGTTGTTACTGATAATGAGGAAATCCATGGAAGTTAAATTGGGTGGCCGCTAACTTGCTCGGAATTCAGAGCGCGAACATCTTTCTCAAGACGGTACACTTGGTGGGTATATAAAACTATATATACTTTGGAAAGGGACCAAATTCCAACTGAGCAATGCCATTTAAGAAAAATGACAATACCACTAAATAAATGTCTAGTGAACTGGCTAATCATCACCCTTAACTGTAACAATTTAGTTATATGGGCGATATCAAAGGCCACTGCAGTCACCTACAAATGGTCTACCGGTTGTATTTCATGGCAATTTCAAGCAAGTTGCTTTCCAAAGTCCTAGCTCTCCAAAGATTACGTCGCAGTTAAAATGGTCGTCCTAGCAACAATGCAGTCGAAACCGCGTGTACCTGCATTACGCACCATGAGTCGTAGTAACATCCTTCTAACATGTCAACAATATAGCTGACTTTCCAATTTAAAAGTGTTGTCACGATTCACTGACAACTTCGAAGCAGGACGAACACTCACACACGTACACGTTATCTGCCCGCACGACCGGGCAAGTGTGACAGGTTGGTGCCTGCGGCCGCGTGCACGCCTCCCGAACGCGCTGGTTGGTCACTGCGCGCGACCTCAGCCAATCACAGCGCAGGCCCGGCACTTGCCTCGACGTGTGCGCACCAATGAGC